AGATTTATTTTATTTGTGTTACTTATTTATTTTATTTGTGGCTTGTTTTAAAATGTAAAAAAAAAAATTGTTATTTACATTTACATTATATTTACATTTTGTAATTTAGCAAACGCTTTTATCCAAAGCGATTAACAAATGAGGACAATAGAAGCAATCAAAACCAACAAAAGAGCAATAATTTACAAGTGCTATATTAGTATATTATAGTGTTATATTTCAATTTCACAAAGACACGTGCACACATTTAATTTATAATTTGTTTTAAATCTCATTTTGTAAAAAAATAAAAAATAAAAAGATGAATCGAATCGAATCGTGAAATCAAAATTGTGAATCGAATAGTGAGTTGAGTGAATCATTACATCCATAGTTGATACTGATTTAATTTGATTGGTAACAGCCCTATAGTGTCTTACTATTTAAATTTATTTATTAAATTTAAGAATTAGACACAAAAGATGCACACATTTAATTAGGCTAGAAAAAAATTGGCCTCATGAAGCTAAAAAAAAAAAATCTAATAAACGTATTAGAAAAGTTCATCTCTGTTACTCCAGCAAACTAACCACTGCACAGAATATGAAGAATATCAAAAGTTTTGGGAGTCAGCTGTCCACAGCAGTCCTAAAATATACCAGCAGAATAACATGCTCAGCAAAATATTGTCTAATTATTGCCATCAACAAAATTCTAGAAAATATTGAGATATAATTTGTCATTATTGCACAACCCTAGTTTACACAAACACCAATATGCTGATAACTACAAAAATCATCTTACTGAAATGTAAACCAATAACATGACAACACAAGAAAGCCATGTTTTCGAGACATCTTTTCGATCAGATTATTCCCCGGGAAGTGACAAGATTCTGTGTATCCGACCCAGAGTATTACACTGCAATGAATTGCAATTTTAAATAAAGCATTAAAAACCCCAGATTTTCAGCGAGAAACCTGTACAGACCCATATTCTTCTATTATGTTTATAGTTTCTACAACTGTACCCTAACACAAAATGCTCACTCCTGCTGAATGGTAATTAAATGAATTATTTAGTAGAACACGTGTGACAAATTCAGGTCCTAGAGGGCCACTGTCCTGCAGAGTTTAGCTCCAACCAGCTCCAACACACCTGCCTGGAAGTTTCTAGCACTCATAAAGGCTTTGATTAACTGGATCAGGTGTGTTTAATTAGGAATTGAGCTAAACTCTGCAGGACAGCGGCCCTCCGGGAGCTGAGTTTGACACCCATGCGCTAGAGAAGGGGTGTCAAACTCAATTCCTGGAGGGCCGGAGCCCCGCAGTTTAGATTCAACCCTAATTAAACACACCTAATCCAACTAATCAAGTCCTTCAGGCTTGCTGGAAAACTACATGGTATGTGTGTTGGAGCAGGGTTGGAACAAAACTCTGCAGGGCTTCAGCCCTCCAGGAATTGAGTTTGACACCCCTGCACTAGAGGAACCAGGTTTTGTGTGCTTTGTTTATTTAAATGGCAGGTCACCTGCGCAACACTCTGCACACATCCAGCCTCATCTTCTTAACTAAAACACCTGACACAGTTTTTGCAAAAGCTGTTAACCTACTTTTTCCCAGCATGTACTGTTGATGAAAAGTAGGCAATTGTCTGTTTGTTATTTGTTTTGCCATATTGTGTTTCTTTAGAATTGTGACTAGGTTTTCCTCCGAAACTGTGAATGACATTTTTGCATACAGTGCATGCAAACAGCAGCGAACGACCAACAAAAACACAGCACACACTCTGATCCCTATATATGGCTGGACTGGAGTACTCGTGGAATTCTAAACTTCCAACAGGATCACCTCCTGAACTGAAGCGTTCCAGCAGCCATTTTAGGCCGCATTTTACACTTCAGGGGTGTATTCCAGAAAGGAGGTTCAACAAACTCTGAGTTAAAACTTTAACTCTGAGTTGACTTACCCTGATAACGTGATTACAATTTAATAAAAACGTTAGAAATTGATAATTATATAACATTTCCTTTCCACTGTTATTAAAACAGCGAATAAATTATATATAGAAAGTGACATTATCACTAACATCGATCTATCGCGAGTTTAAGCACTCACAAAAAAAAAAAAACTATCGTTATAATCACTGTAGCTATATACACTGTTAAATGAATCTCTTACTTACATTGTATGTACATCTGCGCTTTGTTGTTTATGATGAGAGAATTCGCAAGAGTCCAGAATTCAATCAGTGAACGCGCGCACACTCAACAAAACTGATGAGTTTGAACGATGACTCATCTGAACGCTTCTGATTGGCCATTGCATTCCTAAGCTCAACAGATATGTGTGTGATTGGTTCAAATGCGCAACACTGTAAAAACGCCTAAAATGAAATACGGTGCAACATGCCGCAATCGACACTGTCTGTTCATATTCACTTTGTTACCAACAGACGTAATAGATTTAATTTGTTTGTGCAGTGGCATTTTTGTCCAATTTAGTGGCATTTTTGCCCCAAGTACCCGTGGTCAGGGGAAGGCTAAGCCTATGGTGTCAACAACAGCTGACACCTAGACCTAAAACGGGTATCCAATCATGTTCCTAGAGAGCCACCTTCTAGCAGAATGTAGCTCTGTAGCAGCCAATAAACACACATGAATCAGATGATCAAGGTCTCTTTCGCAGCTTAATAGACAAACAGTCAAAATAAATTAATAATAAATAAATTGTAAAATATTGGCAAGATGAGAACTTGACCCATTTTTGTAAGCATTCACTTAAACACTGCACTCACTTAAACAGTGTAAACGGGGGAAAATATGAATAAATATGTCAAAATATTGTACCTATGCTATTTTGAATGAATTCTCACAATGTGATTTGTGAAAAAATGCATGATAATGGGGCATAAGCAGACTGTAGGAAATTATGGATTGTACGAATTCATATAATTTTTTCCACAAATTTGCACCAAAAAAAAAATGTCATGAAACTGTGTTGGTATATGTTCTGAATTCTAATCGAACAACAAAATAAAAAGAGAAAATCACCTACTGCTCTTGACTGAATAACTTTTAATTAATTTGAATTCAAAGACTATGCCGTGTTTTATTTTATATTTGATTCGATCTTGAATTTCTTTCTTGAACAATGCTGCTCACTAGGGTAATGACATGGCTTTTTTATTATTATTACGTTTCTTGAGGTTCATTTATTTATTATGTCTTTGAGAACTGTAAAACAGTATATCATGTCAATAATATACATTGTGATATAAGATGCATTTATCTATGCACTGATATCACAAGTGGGACATTTCTTCTCTATGCACAGACATCCTCTGGCTTGCCCAGACTGCACAAACCACACCCAACCATCACAAACCCTGCCAGAGAGGTTAAAGCATGAATTATCTATGGAGATCAGATATCGGAGAAAGCCAAGAACAGCACAGGGAACAGTTTATATTGGGGGGGGAGGAAACACATCGTAATTATATTTAGCACATGGATCTTTTTATCCTGTATGTTCTAAACCACAGCAAACAAAACTGAAGCACTTTACTAACTAGTATCAGTTAAGCTTAACTAATTGACTAATCATATTAGACAAAAACCCGTCTAATCCCCTTCTTATCATGAAAGCTACGTGAGAGAGTAAGCAAAGATCAGCATGGTCATTATTTGCATCATACAGACTACTAAAAGTCATCTAAGCTCATTATGCAAGAGCTCATGGATCATTAAAGATTATGAAAGATCATTATTGGCCTCACGGTTTAGTCTTTTTGTAGTGAGGTAGTGTCACATTACCTAAAGGTCATCATTACCTGTGTCTGACCTTTCGAAACACCACAAAATTGTTCACATCAACTGCTTGAATCACTCTTATCACACCGAAAAGTTGCATTGCAGAAATGCTGAAATAACATTAATTGTTTTGTTGCTGTTGCTCTTTGGAACAATCAATTGACATAGCTATCATGGAAAATCCTTCAAAAGATGCGTTATATTTCATTCATGCAGACACTTAATCAGGGGAAAATTAAGCATATCGAAAGAATAAGACATCTACAAGTTTAATAAGAAATAAGCACCCAACTTAAAAAGGGAGGAAAATTACATTAAAATATACAAAGACAGAGTGGAATTGCCAGACATATAACATGATGAGTAATGGATGAATTCTCTGATAGACTAAGGTCATTCTACAACTGTTTTTATATTTCCCCCATTATAATAATAATAATAATAATCATGTCAAATCTGTTCTGCTATATTAACAAATCTTTTTGATGTCAAACTAAATAATTGTAGGGTTTTTAGTTGCTTCATATATCAATAAATGGCTGTCACATTATTTTGTAAGTGGTTTATTTGGTGTTCTTTTTCAGAACACAACATTTTGATTAACAACCTATCACAAATAACATAACAGAGAAACTGAAAATACAAAATGATTAGTTAAAAAGTATATTTCATACAGAACCACTGTATGAAATACAGTTTATTTCATTCTTTCTCATGAAATAAATTTTACAATTTACATACAGAATATGTCAATTGTTTTAAGTTTTAGACATTTCACCTTTTACCTATTTCATTTAGTCAAATACACTATTTATATACTATCACAACAAACTGGCAAAATGTGTGCTTTGCTGCATTAAAAGAAAAATGCATATTTACATTATCTTCATAAATGACTTTCAATGATTAAATAAACTACAAAAAAAAAAAAACATGATTATTATTGCAAAATTAAGGTAAACGCGTCTGTGTGCTCAAAAGCGAGTTTTTTTCTTTATTTTTCTTTTTTTTCTTTTTCTTTTCATAATAATGTGACAGCATCTGCCACTGCAAGTGTAGAATGACCAGGGAATGTAAACAAAGTCAAAAGCACATCAACTCACATCAAATCACTGTGAGCAAACTATAGTCCATATTAACATAGATTAACGTAGTGTAATAAGAACAACAGAAAAACTATAAAAACGCACAGTCAGAAGGAAACCCACACCTTATCTGAGCGGCCGCCTGTACGATTTCATCCGATTGAAGGCGAATACAGCTGGGCGTGGAAATCCACCACAGGAGTCAAGCCCGTTTACTGCTTCCACCTGATCCAATGCTTAGTCGAGATATACAGTTGTCCATGCATAGGAAGACTAGCTCTTCTCATCGCATTCTATGTTATTGTGAAGTAACGTCCTGCCGGCATGAGAGCATGTTGTATGAAAACAGCGGACACTGACGTCAGCATTCCTCATACTGCGGGTATACCCGGACATGGGCGTTTCTTAGCGGCGCGGACGTTGTTTCTGATTTGGAAACAACGATTCTATCCCTATCATAAGAAGATACCGCATTTGGCTGCAAGTACGCGCCCCCGTCTGGGAACGGTGCTTTTAGGAAGTCAGAAGCAATAAAATTCAGTATCTTTTAAAGCAATTCACTGTTTTTGAGCGCTGGAGACACCAGTGCTGTAAACACCGCGCTCTGCTGGTCAAAAAAGTGTAAATGCAACTCAGTGACACCTTTTACAAACTAATTCATGTTTTCACGTGTTCTTTCTTATTAGTGCTGGACTGGTTTTATTATGTAGGCTAGCTATTTTTAGGGAGAGCTTGGCTAATCAGGCCAGTTAGAGTCAATTAGTTCACTCTTTCTTATGCACGTCGTTAAAACTAGCAGACAAAAGTAGTGTGATTAGAAATGTTTAAAGAAAATCTATCGTTCCAGTGTTTATTCATATTTTTTCTGAGAACCTCAGCTTGGAGTTGGAAAAATATTCTTTCTCATGAAACAAATTGCAGGAATTGAAAGGTATTTATTAGTTGGAACAGATGATGAAGTAGGCCTATCATTTGGTGTTTTGCCCACTACTCCACTGGATCACCAAAAACATACTACTATACTCCAAGAGGTGCAACAACTGTGGCACAGTGGACTCTTTGTATCTCATCTATTATTCCTATTGTTTTTTTTTACATTTATTCGTTTAGTAGCCTATCTTCTCTTTGTCTCCTGTCCTCTTGCTTAAGCGTTTAGGGTGGTTCTGGTTTTAGCAATGTAGATGGCATGGATCTGTGTTCTGCATTAAGAAAATAACCTATGTAGTTCTTGACGGCAGCATCAGCTTTGGCGTTAAGACTAAAAGCTAAAGTCTTAAATCCAAAAGTGTCGCCTTGTCTCATTATGGACTTGAATGCTCGGAAGCTTAAAATCTGTTAAATTGTTAATTCTTTAATTTGCTGTTGATTGCAATTTGTGCTCTCTCGTTAATTCTGTTATGTACACTTTCTTGTCATTCCAAATATTGTTTTTTCTTCAGTTGGACAAATCAAAATGTTTTATTTTGTTTTGGGTTTTTTTAATAATGTTTGTCTGTATTTGTCCAATACAGTAATTACAATAAAAGACCTGAAAACAGCTGTCCATCAGCAGTCCCCATCTGACCTGAGCTTCAGGGGATGCAGAGAAGAATGGCAAAAAATCCAGATGTGCAGTTTGTCACATTATACCCAAAAAGACACATTAAATACCCACTATAGCCAAAAAGTCTGTAATCGGCACCAAAGGAGCCTCAAATACGTACTGTGTTAAGAGTCTGAATAGTTATCACGTGTTTTTTACTTTGTCATTAGGGGTATGGAGTGTAGATTGGTGTGAATTTTCTCTAATCATTTTACAATAAGGATGCAAAATGTGGGGGGAAATGAAGGGGTCTAAATACGTTCTGAATGTGCTGCAGGCCTACATTTGCCTCTCGAACAGCAGGTGTCACCAGCATGCAGTGTTTCAAGTGCTTCGAAAGAGTGAATTATTTTGTGAACCGTTTGGTTCAATTGACTCAAAATTCAAAAGCTGGTAGTATCCCTATGCCCTACTCATGCTGAAGAGCATATGGCAATCTGTTTTAGCATTTAATGTCCCTAGTTCTACCATTTGTAGTTTGACTAGTTAGAAAATTCCCATTCCAAATACCTATTCTGAAATTTTGACTCATCATAATTGCCATTAAGATATTCTATGTTATTTTGGCTAGTCATAATGTACATTGAAGATAAATCTGCAAAAAAATATTTTGACTAGTCATAGGCCTACTTAGATTGAAAGTATTTTAGTGTTGTGGCAAGTGAATTTGTGGCATTACTTAACTCTGGCATTACTTGCCAACCCACATCCCTCTGATCCCGATATAGATTGTATTACTATAATTAAAAATCTTTTTAGAAAAAACATTTTCTTACAAACTTATGCTATTTATTTTGATAAAATACATCATGAAATATTGCCTAATCATATATGGGTAACAAAGAAATCATAGCTAGCTTTAAACTACAAATGATGATTAATGAGGTTATACAACACTTACTAAAAGTCACTATCAATCACTACTGAGTGTTTGTAGTAATACTTCTGACTGCGATCCAATGTGGATTTTGGTCAAATGATGAAGAAGAAATATGTCAGTAACTTTTCATATTTTAGGTAGGCCTATGCAATTACAACTTCTGTGGGGCGTGAAGGGAAAGTAATGTAACTAGTGTAACTAATTACTGTTGCCAGAAAGTAATAGATAAAGTAATAATATTACATTTGAAAGGAGTAGAGTAATAATAAATTAAATATTTGAGTAACGAGCCCAGCACTGTTTATGATATCTACAAATGAGTTGTGACCGGGTGAGCTAGACCATTTCTATAGTCTTTGGCTAGACCCCTTTTCTGGGGAATAAGCCAAAGTTAAATACCACGCGTGTCCCAGTAAAATATTACTGCTATATACTTATCAGTCAATATGACCGACCTGAGAATCATTTTATCTGCAAATTTCAGTAATAAAGTCCTGTTTTCTTTTAGCTGTTCAAAATCAAAACGATAACCCGATTCGCGAATTAATCATTATTTTGATCTAATCAGTCAGAAGGGTTTGCATGGGGGTCTAAATTGTCCGATTTGGTTCATTCGGACAGTTCACTCGCGCACTGCAAAGTTTGCAGCGGAATATTTTATAACACAGAAAACAAAAAGAGCGCTGGATGGTGTGGATATTTACATATAATCCATTGAAGAAAACAAAACTAGCAAATGTCTTTTATCATTTGTCAAGGACTAAGCAGCTCTTTATTGCGTGTACACCTTGTAACCAGGTAAACATGAAGTTTCGTGCTGAAATTTGTGCGGTTTCTGTAGTAAAGCCTTACTTTTTTTATTTGATTGGTTTTCTCAGTCATTTTAACATTTGCAAACGTTGTTAAACTTGAAGCAGACCACCCTAAAATGCAACTTTTTACACTTGTTGTCATCCTAACATGAGCCGTGAAAAATGGCGTGCAGTAGAGCAAATCAAGAATACCGTCTCGGGTTACCCATGTAATTATGGTTCCCCGAGAGGGAACGAGACGCTGCGTCCTGGTGGACACTTTGGGGAATGCAGCAAGTATGACCGGTGCCTGAAGCATGTATAAAACAACTTCAATCCTATTGGTCCACGTGGACTGTGACGTCATAGGTGGGTACCCAAAAGTATAAATAGGCACCTGCTGAATACATCACCAACTCAGTTGTCTGAGGAGACGTAAACAGGCAGGCTGAAGGCATGGCAAGGGGATGCAGCGTCTCGTTCCCTCTCGGGGAACCATGGTTACATGGGTAACCCGAGACATTCCCCTTCTAGGGAACTTAACACTGCATCCTGGTGGACACTTCGGGGAACGAAATCCAATCACGCCATGCCGAGGTGCATGCCTGTCCACCTGGTGAGAAAGCACCAAGGAGGTGACAGACATACACCAAACCTTTCCTCAGAAAGGGGCCAAGCCACTGAGGCCTCGGGCCGCTCACTTAACTTGGTAGAAGAGGGAGCTCGATTCCAGATAAGGGGGGACACCCTAACCAAGCTAGGAACACAACATCCTCAGATAACTATGCTATGTGAGCAATAGTAGCCAGAATACCTAAGACCACTGAGAGGCTGGAAGTCTCAAAGTCCGCAGATAGCTATAGCCAAAGGGTCTTATGACAAAGGACCTTCCTAAAGAGCTGCCCAGACCAAGGGGATGGCTATCTACTTAAAACCCCGCAGGGGAGATAGCACTGTCTAAGCCAGGGCTCAGAGAGGCCGCTACTTAAAAACCCTAAGAAGGGGAGCAGTCACATAGCCATCCTCAGATAACTATATACCTAGGAAGGGGCTACCCGACGGGACCAAAACTAAAAACCAGGTAAACCTTCCTGAAGCTGCCCAGACCACAGAGAGTGGGCTATCTACTTACGACCCTAGCCGGGGAGATAGCACTAACTAGGCAAGGGCTCAGGGAGACCACTACTTAAATACCCTAAGAAGGGGAGCAGTCCCTAAGCTAGCACATAGATATCCTCAGATAGCCATGTACCTAGGAAGGCTACCAGAAGGGGACCGACTGAGACTACCCAGACCACAAGAGTGGACTGTCTAATTATAAACCCTATAAGGGGAGACAGCACTATCTAGGCAGGGCTCAAGGAGACCGCTACTTAAAAACCCCAAGCAGGGGAGCATTCACCGAGCTAGCACATATCTATCCTCAGATAGCTACGCTTTCAGGAAAGGGCAAGTTAACACACAACTAGCTTCAGGTAGCTGTATTCAAGCAAGCCCGTCCTGCCATAACAATGGCCGAAATATAACCACCGTTAGGTGGCTATACTAAGGAGGTCCCCAATCAGTGTTAGTCCCACAGTAGGCTAGCGAGCACTGATATAATGACCAGAGGCTCTCAATAGGAAGATCCAGACCATAGTAAATGATTCGCTAAAGAGCAAACACATAAAAACCCATTAGTCCAGATCAAAGCCTGATGCAAGCCACGGCTATAACACTAGGTGGACGGACACAGCTATCCTCAGATAGCATTTCCCTCAGATAAGGCTGAAGTCTGCCCAGACCAAGAAGTGGGCCATCTACTTAAAACGCGAACAGGGGAGACAGCGCAGTCTCTGCAAGGGCTCAAGGAGCCCACTACTAAAAGACCCTACAAGGGGGAGCAGTCTCCGTCCGAGCTGTAACACAGCTATCCTCAAATAGCAGATTCCTAAACAAAGACTTTAGCGCTCACCTGAGAGAGCTTGTGCCCAAGGGGAACCCAACCCAGTCATAGACACCAGGCTAGAACATAGCTGCCCTCAGACTGTTATATTCCAAAGCAAAGCAAGCCTAAGCTGGAGCATAATCATCTGCAGACGGCTACACTCTGAGCAGAGACT